CATTCCTGGTGCTCACAGGTCTGACAGCTACACTTGGCATCAAAGTTCCTTCTCCAGATGAGAAAACAGAACGCTTGGCATTAGTAAGACATCACATGGGACAATCTTTGTCTAAAGAAGTTGTACATGTCCTCACCAAACCTGGGGCAGATCATGATTGGGAAAACCTAGAAAAAGACTTGAGATTGCTCATTGATGGGGATTATGAGGCCGCTGTCTCTTCATTGCAAATGGAGGATGTGAAAAAACAATTGCAAAGTCTTTTCCATGGAAAGAAACAGCCCCATGAACCACATGATAATGAAAGTAACAAACGGGAGGTCATAGAAAATAGAGCCTTCCTAGAAATACTCCAGCGTCTAGGCCTGGAACATTACTACCCCAAAATGATGAGCAGAGCTAACTTCCATATGATCTACAAGAATCCTGTGTACAACACCCAGCCCTGCTCTGAAAGAGAGCTTCCCTTCTATTTCCTACAGAAGCTACTGATGCTGGATTATGGGCTGAGATACCTGATCATTAAGGATGATGAATACACAGAGAAGCAAGTCTATCCAAGCACCTCAAATCAAGAAAAGGAGGCTTTTGATCCATATGAAGATCTATTTGAAGACAGTAATAGCACCACTAATCCTTCAGCAGCCACTAATGCCAGGCCCTACATTCACCCTATGGATATACAGATGGCAATTCTTCACTGTGCAGATGATTTTGCCAGACAATACATTTTGGCCAAACTTTCCATTTGTCAGTTTGCCCTCCCCCTTCTCATACCTAATCCTTGCAATGCTCAAATTGAATTCTCTCTCTGGTCTCTCAGTCAAATTAGGAGGAGCTGGCAGCAAACAGGGAAATCAATAAAAGAGGAGAAGGACAATTACAAAAATCAGCAGATGTGTCGTGTCTCTACCCCCATTGTGTCTTTTATTAGAGTTGGAAATGGCTTCTCTGCCTCCAAATCTCAGATCATGAACTGTCTTCTCAGTAAAAGGAAACATGATGTCTTTTTTCACCGACATTGCAAAGGGAGCAGCAAAGACTGTCTCTTGATGGGAGGTGTGGTGGAAGTTGCCTGGTTCTGTCCTGGGGGTGAAGATCAGGACAGGTTTGACAACTGCCTGACCTTCATCAATCTTCATGGAGATGCAAAGGAACATGAGAAGCAACTTGCCTTTTTGCAGGAGGTCTCTTCTCTCATTGTGGTCCTCATGTCAACTTCTGATGACAATAAAGAAACCCGAAAAATTGTCCATGACCTGTGTCAGAAATCAAAAACTTTAATCTGTTTGCTTGATGATAAAGAAAAAACCGTGGCAAGTAACTCTGGCCCAAGAGTGAGAATTGGGGTCAGGAACAGAAATGAGGCAGAATTAATAGAGGAGCTCACAACTACAATCAGACGTTTGTTAGAGCTTTCTGACACTGCACTCAGCTTGGAGAACTGTGCCCAAATTGCTCGCAAGCAAGGATTGCTTATTGATGAAGATCAGAGAGAATGCAAGGAAGCCAAAGAAAAGGCAGAGATTCTAATGGCCCTACTGGGAGAAATGGAAATACCTCAGATGAAGGAAAATTTACTACCCCTTCAGGGAAAACTGTGGCAACTTTGGTGTAAAAAGGACAAAGAACTCTATCATCTGAGAGAAAAAGGGAATCGAAGCATTGAACAACACAAGAGTGAGATTGAGACAGATAAACAAACGATACGACATCAACAGTTGAGAAAAGCCTTTCCTCTCAACGATTTAATGCATTCTGTCCTTGAAATTCTCCAAAATCATTCAGAAACTCACACCAAACTCTACTTCTTGCAATGGCTGAGTGTGTTTTTAGACAATCTGACTGCAGGACACTTGGAAAAACTAAATGAGAAGAAAAAGGCATTGTGGTCACTGGTCCAAAAAGAAAAGCAAGAGGCACCAAAGAGCAACTCTCTGAAAGGCTTGCAAAATGAGATAGAAGTTATCTCCAGAGAGATTAGTGACTGCACCTTGGGAATTGAGCAACTTCTCAGAGAAGTTGCCCAGATCTATGAAGCTCTGGAAGAAGCTTCATCCATGAAAGATACCCTATTTCTCTCCCTTCCCCACATTGCTGCAGATCTGATGCTATCTGGTTTTCCCATTGAGCTAATGGATGGGGATGCTTCTTATGTGCCCCTGAGGTGGGTGGCAGCTGTTTTTGACAAGGTCTCTGAGAAACTTGGAAACAAACGGCTCTTTGTTCTCTCTGTCCTTGGCCTGCAGAGCTCAGGGAAGTCCACCCTGCTGAATGCACTTTTTGGGCTGCAGTTCACTGTCAGTGCTGGGAGGTGTACCCGGGGGGCCTACATGCAGCTTCTGAAGGTGGAGGAGACATTCGCAAAGGAACTTGGCTTTGACTTTGTGCTTGTTGTGGACACAGAAGGACTTCGGGCCCCAGAACTCAGCAACAAGTCCAAGAATCGTGACAATGAGTTGGCAACCTTTGTCATCGGACTTGGAAACTTGACTCTGATCAATATTTTTGGGGAAAATCCATCAGAAATGCAAGATATTCTACAAATAGTTGTCCAAGCTTTTCTGAGGATGAAACAAGTAAAAATATCTCCTAGTTGCCTCTTTGTTCATCAGAATGTGGGAGAAATTACAGCTAAAGACCAAACTATGGAAGGACGAAGGCGGCTAGAGCAGAGACTGGACGAAATGGCAGCAACAGCAGCTGAAGAAGAGCAGTGCTCAGATGTAACCCGCTTTCGTGATGTCATTAAGTTTGATGTTAATACCCACGTCTACTACTTTGCTCACCTCTGGGATGGTAATCCCCCAATGGCCCCTCCCAATCCTCGTTATAGCCACAATGTCCAAGAACTGAAAAGCAGAATTCTTGTGACTGCCCAACAGGAATCTAGGGGAAGCATCATGAAGATATCAGATGTAAAATTCCGAGTTCAAGATTTGTGGAGAGCCCTATTGAATGAAAACTTTATTTTCAGTTTCAGGAATACCCGAGAGGTCATGGCCATGAGCAAACTGGAAACCATGTATAACTACTGGACATGGGAGTTGAGGAGTTATGTGCTGAGCATACAGGACCAGCTGATCAACCAGATTCAGAATGAAAAAATCCAGACACTCAAAACACACACAATTGAGGCTCCAGTTACAGAGAAATATGAAGCCATCAAGCAAGAACTTGAAAAATATTTTAATGAAGACCCAGATAGTGAAGTGCTGGTACAGTGGAAAGGAAATTTTGAAAATAAGCTAATAATCCTTAAAGAGGCATTCATTTTAGACTGCCAAAGAAAAGCCAAAGAACTTCTTAGTTTTAAAAAGAATCAAGAAAAACTGCATAACAAAAAATCAAGTTATGAAAAGGAATTACTGGAAAAAAGCCGAGAGTTGGCTTTAACTGTAAAGGGCACCCAACTGAGTGAGGAAGAGCTACATGAGAAATTCAACCCACTTTGGAAAAAATGGGTTTATGATTTGTCCTCAACTCACTCTCCAATCGCAGAGCCTAAAATTGAAGTGGATTCTGAAAACATCCTTTTGGATTATTTCAAAAAGGAGAAAGACATGGCAAGCATACTGAAGAAAAATTCTGGAGAAAACTTTGAAATCAAATATGACAAACATATCAAAATGAACAAGAAATATTTGAACTTAGTTACAATGACGTTAGAGGCCCAGGATAAAGAGTCCATAAATATGACTACTAACCGCATTGTTTCAAAAGTTAATGAAACTATTAACAACATTTGTAGGCAAAAGCATGATTACAATCCAACTTATTTCTATGAAATCCTGAGAATAATAGATGAGGAGGTGAAATCTGCACCCACTAAGGAAAGATACACATTTACAAGAAAATATGAAATAGACTTATCCTTGTGTTTATTCCAAAGAGCATCAATGAAGTTTCATGATATGCACAAGGTATTCAAGAGAGCAAATGATCCTGTAAACTATCTGGAAAGCAAGAAAGATGATTTCTTCATGAGTTTTAAGATCTCTTGTCAGGGAGCAACCTCAATTAAAACATTTGTTGATTTTCTGTGGCACAAACTCACCACTGCTGTCTCCAACACCATAAAGAAAAACATGGCCCGCAAAATTGCTGGGGACATGCAAGCCACCTGCCCTGCATTCAATGGAAACAGGGCTAACCTGGAGAAACACATTCTCATCTCTCTGGCAGAAGAGGAAAATTTTGATAACTGTTGGCAGTACCTTCATAATCCGGAATCATTTTTTAAGAATTACATTGAAAACCACATTAAAAGATATTGTTCTGACAAAGGAAATGAAAAAATGAAGACATTTTTAAAAATAAGTTCAGATGAAATCAAGAATGCCATCCTCTCAGCTATTCAGGTATCCACAGCAGTAGCTAAAGATAAAAGCAGCACTGTGTCTGGGTGGTTGGATTTGTTCTGTGATCACCTGGGGAGTAACTTGATCTTTCCACGAAAAGACCTGATAAGCATTGAACACCAGGAGATAAAAGATATTGACTTTCTCAAAGAAGCCATGAGTAAAGCTTTGGATCCTGAAATGAAGAGAGTAGAACAGAATGATTTGTATATGTTTGTAGAAGAAATCGTTCCTGAAATCCAGAAAATGCTCACTGAACATCTCTGTGGCTGCTGGAAACAGTGTCCCTGCTGTAGTGCAATCTGTACAAACACAATCCCTATGCATGATGGAGACCACAGTGTTCCCTTCCATCGTCCACAGGCTGTCAGTGGAGGATGGTGGTACAAAACAGACCATTTTGTCATTGATTGCTGTACCAGTTTGGTAACAAGTGATTGTGTTTTGGTTTTGGGAGATGGCAGGGAAGTCCCATATAAGAACTATCGACAGGCAGGAGGGGAATATGCCAGGTGGAGTATCACCCCAGACACATCCACCCAGCCATACTGGAAATGGTTTGTCTGTCACTTCAGATTAAAGCTACAAGAAAAGTATCTCAAAAGATTTATAGGTAAAGGTACAATTCCTGATGCATGGAACAAAATTATGAAACAGGATGTGCTTAATGACTTGAAAAAAAATTAATACTCAATGACCACAAAACAGCCCCAGTATCTGAACAAAGGAGGCACATTACCTGAGGAAGCCTAAAATATCACCCACTCGTAAGGAAAACATCCCTTATATCAATTTTTTCAATTGAAACATCTAAAACTAAATCAGTTAACAGCAAGAGTTGAAGACTTGCTGAGAAAGAACTTCATTTTTCTTTGCCTCAATTCCTTTTGCTTTAAAAACAGATTACTAAAATATATGAGTACATGATAAAATCAAATAAAATCCATTTAAAATACCTACTTCATATTTTAAACTATTATTCTGAATGTTACTTCTTATTTTTAAATATATAATGTTATTTAAAGTCACAAGAAAGTCATTTTCATAGAGGGAAGTTAAAATCATTGCAGACTGCCACAAATTCTATAGAATAACTACATAGTTTAACCAATATACAGTTCTTGACTGGAATCTACAAATTCTTTTCAGTTCTAAGTGTATTTTTTTTTACCCTCAGAAATTTGTGAGGAAGAGTTATTAATGCTTGAATGCAAAAACATTCATGGAAAATTCATGATTCCCAATTCCCAAATATAGTGCTTTTTAGGGATATCCTGTTATAGGAAATGGAAAAAAAACAAAACAAAACAACAGAAACTTGACCAGGATAGAGCCTGCATCAATTCTGGAAACATTACTCAACAAATATGGAAAATATAAGTTAAATAACTTTTTCTTATTTAACCATCATCCTCTTCTTCCCTGGTGCCTTGGCATTTGCCTGTGCATGTTTTTTAAAAAAGGAAAAGAAAAAGTTCACAGGAGCTTAGGTATTCAAAGCCTAGAGCTATGTACAAGTCTGAAAAGGACTGGTTAACGGAACAAGATTTATGACAAGGTAAAAAGGGCCATTTTAATCAAGGCTGTGGACAAGGTCAAATCTGATTAAGCCATGATCATTTAATGGTTAATGATTTAAAAAACTATTCCTTCAAGACTAAAATATCAAAAAATATATAGTTTTGTGTGGTGATATTTCAATAAGAGATGCTTTTTACATATTAAAAGGTAAGAAAATGCTTATCTCCAAATCAGGCACCTTGTGACTTTTCACAGTATTTGAGCCATAGGGTCATGATCAGAAATAAAAATGAAGAACATGCTGAAGCCAACCAAGGATCTGAGACGGGAAGGAAATCTCCCTTCTGCAAACTTTTACCTTCTAAAGCAATGACTTTTGCTAGGTTCTCAAAGCTGATGATCTGAAGGAATCCTGATGCAAAGAAAAAAGATTATTCATGCCTGACATAAGGGCATCCATTGGCTTCCATTTCAGGGTACACTGTCTACCCGTCCATAGCCAGTGAAAACAGACAGTACAAAGAGCAGTCAAAGGACTTGGATCTTCAGAGCTGGGAGACAGGAGCGTTCACTCTGCTATCTTTGTGCCCCAAGGCTTCAAGCATACTCTCAGTTTCAGGTCAAATGACCATGTTTCCAGAAGAAATCCTGGAACAGAAAAATTATATGGAAAACAGATGTTCTTGGACAGTAGGGTTTCCCTTTTGTTCTCGAAAAAAATATGCTCACTGAGAGTTGGAACTAATAGGATAAAGTTGAAATAGTGATAAAAACAGAACCCATGCATAATATAGCACCTGTTTCTGACATAGCTGCATCCTTGATAACTGTGCAATGTTAACATTCACTGAATGCCTTTCATATTTGTTTAATGAATCCATTAAAACTTTTAACTAAAAAGTATTATATATCATATATTAACTTTGATTTTTCACGCCAAATTGTTGTGCATAAAAAAATAAATTTTTTGATAAATTCCTCAGGCATTTAAGTAGAGTGATTATTAAATGAAATTCAGAGGCTGTGTCAAGAACCCAAAATGGCTAGACATAAGTTGGGAATGAGAGAAGATGGCTATGTGTAAATGTGGTTTTCTATGATAGTAGTGGAGAGTAAAGTGCCATCAACGTAGGGTAAGGATTAAAGGGTCAGTGGGTTGAGGTCACTGAGGGAGATCTTAGGAACAGTGGAGTAGGGTGAATGGGGTCAGTAGGGATGAGAATCATATGGTCATCAAAAATGGGAGATGACGGGCCCAGTGTAGGTCACAGGTTAGAGATGGCCAGAGTTGTAAGGTCAATAGAGGTATAGTTCACATGGTCAGTGGAACAGGTCTCTCAGAGTCACTGAAAGTGGGGATCATGGAAACACAGGAATTGGGGGTCACCATATCAATAGACCAGGGATTTCCAGAGTAAGTTAAGCAAGAGAGGACAAGGCCTGCTGGGATGGGGCTAGGAGGGTGTTGGATTCTAAGACAAGATCAAATAACATGAATAAGAGGTGAGTTGCTTAAATGAAGCTGGAAATTTGCACTAAAAAGATTTTCACTTAGGTCTCTCTCCCTCTCTCTCTCTCTCTGAGAGAGGATATAAATACGGGAAGGTCAATTGAATAAGATGTGTTATGGACATCCATAAATTCATATGTTGAAACCCTAATCCCCAGTGAGATTTTAGAGGGGGCCTTGGGAGATAATTAGGGTGAGATGAGTTCATGAGGGAAGGGTCCTCATGATGAGATTAACGTCCTTATAAGAAGAGACATCAGAGATATCTCTCTCCCTCCCCAGGAGCATGAATCAAGGAAATATCATATGAGCACACTGCAATATGTGTAATAAAGCAAGCCAGGAAGAGAGCTCTCATCAGGAACCAAATCAACCAGCATCTTGATCTTAGATGCTCTAGAACTGGAAGAAATAAATTTCCATTGTCTAAGACACATGGTCTGTAGTGTTTTGTTACAGCAGCCCAAGCTGACTAAGATGAGGTGTGCCTAAAAATTGGCCCCCTTAAGGTTCAGGATGCTTTTCCCTTAGACTATGGAAAAAGACATATGAAACATAAAACTTTTAATTTTCCCCCTTCCTTCAAATTTGTAATTATCTTTAATCCTTCTCTTTAATCAGTCTAACCCTTCAGTAAGGTCTAAAAAAGCCATTTAGCCCTTTCTAGTAGTGCTGTGACACATAAATAGACAAAACAGAGAAGGAAAGTGTGAGCACTACCAATAATAGTATCATGATAATGACTGTACTGATATCTTTGCAATAGTAGTAACTGTGACATCTTGGGCAGGTAGTTTAACCTCTCTTTGTTCAAGTGCCCTGTCTGTAAGAGTGCCTTTCTCATTCTGCTACTGGGAAGAATAAATGAATTCCTATTTAAAAAACATTTAAGACAGAAGCAAACACAGAGTACTTTATAAGTGTAAGTTATTATTATGTTATACTACCACTCCTAAGTTCCTTATTCCTTTGCATTTGAGTAGCATTTTATTAGGAACACATTGATGGGTTGAGATAGTCTCATCTGAGGTTCATCGGCAGGAATATTCAACCAGGACCCCTTGGGAAATCACAATTGAGAATACAGTAAGTTCTCAATAAATGTGGTTATAACTTATGGCTCAAAATGAATCTCGATATAGTGATGTCCCACAGTACTTTATCTGTAGTCATACCTCTTTCAAAAACTCATCCATCAGTCAAAGACTTAGACAAGTCATTGTCACAATTCTTTAACAGCCTAGAAGATAATATGTCTTAGGTTCTTCAAAAGGTCCGAGACATGGATTCACACACAATTGATTTATTAGAAAAGCTATCCCAGTAGAAAAAGAATAAGGGTAAATAAGCAAGAGGGGGAATGTAACTTAAGGTGAGAGAATAAATTAGTAAGTATGCAAATTTTGAGAGGTAGAAAATGTCATCTTTCAATTCTAGTTAACAAACACAAACTCGAAAATTAGACTGTTTGGTTTTGAATAGGACTTCCACCATTTAGTAGCTGTGTGACCCTGAATGACTTTCTCAATCTGTCTCTGCTTCATTTTCATCCATAAAATGGTGCCACCTCATAGAAGTGTTAAGGATTTCTTGAGATATCCCTGGCACAGCATATATAGTTCCAATAATAGTAGGTGGCGGTAGTAGTAGTACTAGTAGCAGCAGCAGCAAAGCAACAAAAGTCATGTCAAAAGAAGAAATTACTATAGTTATTAAAATTATTATCATTTCCATTACAATGCAATGTGTTTATGCCTTTACCACATTCTCAGCTGTAAATTCCTGAAAAAGAGTTCATGTCTTGTTCATCTCCATATGCTCAGCATGTAGAATGGTATTTACCCCAATGTAGGTGATGAATCATGGCTCTTAAGTACAATTGAGGACAAGCTTACTAAATACTGGAGTTGGAAGTGGAGACAGTTTGAAGGAAAAGAGAGAAACCAAAGATGATGCTGGTATTTCAAACAGGGAAAATGCAGCTGACATCAACTAAGTAAAGGTCACCAATGGCCTCCACTTTGCTAAATCCAATTTTTTATTCACAGTCATATACATGACCTACCAGCATCATTCTGTTCCTCTCATCTCCCTGAAACACTTCTTTTACTTGGATTTGAGAATACTGCACTCTTGCTTCTCTCCTCCTATGTCACTCTTCTTTACTGCTTCTTCCACTTCTATCAGTCTCTCAATGCTAATATACCCCAAGGGCTCAATCCTGGGTCTTCCTTCCATATCTAGGCTCTCTCTCTCTCTTAAGGGGTCACCAGTCCTCACTGCATTAAATACCACCTATACACTGATGACTCCTAATACATCTGTCTCACCACACCTCTCACTAAATGTCAAATACATGCCGACTCACCATCTCCACTTGGATGTCTCAAAGACATCTCAAGCTTAACATGCCCAAAACTGGATTCTAAATATCCCCTCACTCAGAAAAGGGAACACTCTTGCACTGCTGGTGGGAATGTGAATTGGTTCAGCCACTATGGAGAACAGTATGGAGGTTCCTTAAAAAACTACAAATAGAACTACCATATGACCCAGCAATCCCACTACTAGGTATATACCCTGAGGAAACCAGAATTCAGAAAGAGTCATGTACCAAAATGTTCATTGCAGCTCTATTTACAATAGCCCGGAGATG